ACCCGTGGTTTCGAAGCCTAATCATTCTAAATTCAAGTATCTAGAAGCAATCAAATCCTTCCACACCTTCTTCGATTCAATTATTTTTGTTGTTGCTAGTACGTATAGTATGTGAAGAGGAGCTGGTAGATTTTCCTCACTCTGAGTATAAGTGCGATCCAGTTGTGATGATGCCCATCATGCAGCAGATGAAGGCATAGACAATTTCCGCGTAGGGTAAAGCGAGCGCCTTGTGAAATCTACAATTAAACGACTGCAGAAAAGTGGGAATCTGCAGAGGTCGATTCCACACGCAAAAATTTTCACAAAGTATGACTATCTAAGTGCCCTACTTTTGATAGAAATCTTGTATAAAACTAGATTCCAGAGCTCATATGCCAAATATAGTATTAATCTATATGCATATATATTCTCTAAAAGTTAGAATTATTGCAGATTAAATAAAGTAAATATCAGGTGTTTAAAAATTAACTTAGAACTAACCCCCAGTAAACTCATTGATGGCATCTGCCAAGGCGTCAATCGATTCGATATCCAGATTGTTGGTCGGTTCATCGAGAATTAGAATGTCCGGAGCTCGACGAGATAACTCAGCGAAGGCAACACGCGACTTCTGCCCCCCTGAAAGGTCAGCGATCGGGATGATGTGTGCATGAGACTCAAGCCCGAATTTGCCGAGAGTGGCTCTTGATTCCTGTAATGTTCGAAAAATGGAAGCGTAGATCGGGTAATAGAGAGGAGCCAAAGGGTGATGATTCACAAAAGAAATATCAGAAAAAGAGGAATTTATAACGTGTTTAATAAAATGTATCAATGGATTATTGTTTGGGTGAAAAAAAGCAGGAATAAAAAGATAAACTAGCATTGCAGTTGTGTTAGAAAAATCAAATTTTTGATACATTCTGATGCAAAAGCTATAAAGCAAGTAGCAACTATAAATATATTAATGAGTTCTAAAATAGCGAAAAAAAATTGCACAACCTAAAGGAATTGGCCCGATTGAGGATGCGGATTGTATGTTTAATGAAGATAGAAGATTGGTGTGACCTTAAAAGCAGCTTGTAGATAGTAACACTGACCTGATATGGAAGATTGAAGAGTCGAGTAAGGTATTGGGTTGGAGTCTCGGACATAGTCAGATGATCAGCAGAATGCTGATCATACTTGCCAATCTTTAGACGATGATTGTACTGACGTTGGCCAGATGTCTAAACAATGAGAAAAAATGTAAAGATAAATAAACATTAAAATATGAATTACTACACATTAATATGAATCAAGTCTAAAACCTAAGAAACCCAATAGCGCAAAATACAGCAGTCTCAATCTCCAAGGGGCAATTCAGGGGCTCATTCAGTAGTGAAATTCATAGGTATGAAAAAATTAGATCCCGTAATGTGTCTTCTATGCAATCTGTGCTTATCGATAACTTCAACCTACTACCAAAATATCATAAATTAAATATTACTGATAAAAAATAGAAATTTGTTTCATTTGATTTATCCATCCTGTCTAGTGAGTTGGCAGAGGCATGTCGTACTTAGAACGTCATACGAGCCCTTTAACGCGGTGGCATTAGTGCCTGATATTCTAACAAGTTGGTAAACAATAAAGATAAAGGAAGAATTAAATCTCTTGATAAGAAAGGATTCTTTTGATAATTTTAGCCTAGGCACATAAATTTAATGTGTAGTTTGATAAAAATATGGAATTAAGAATGAATTTTCTAATGAATCCAATTAACTAAAATTCTACAATTAACCATAAAAATAAGCAACTTAAGAATCTAACAGCTGTAAAAATCGTTATCACTTTCGACTCTAATCGCTACAAGAAATCGTCGAAAATGCCCGAAGTTTTATCTTCGTGCTTATACCCTCCTGGATGTTAGATTAGTTAAGCAGTATGCAAATAAACTTAATAAACACAAATAAATAAATAAATCGAAGATATGAAGCCCTTTGTTTGATCGCAGTCTCCTTTAGATTTGTTGTCTTGGTTCGACATCGCTTTCGCAACTTGGTCGAAACGTCACGAAGACCTTGTGTAATGTACCTAGTCCTGTGTCCCCTGCCATAATATTCGTGATGTCCAGCATCGGACTATTAACTACCATTCGACTACGATGCCAGAGAAACGTCTGGGAATGTACTAAGTTAATGGTCTGTTGCTGGACATTACTAATACTATGGCAGAGGACACGGGACTAGATATGTTCGACAAGGTCTCCCTGGCGCTCCGACTAAGTTGCGAGAATGAGGTCGAATCAACACTACAAATAATTAAAACATAAATAGCATGAATCGCGAAACCACTCATAGCATTTAAGTTCGGTCAACAATTCCATCGTTAGACTATAGTTATCGTTGTTTGTGACAGTATTAAGAGAAGCCTATCCACAATTTGGATTATTTAAGAATATACCGAATGCCGCCTAGATTGGAAAGTTAGAGAGCCTGACTGAAGCAGAACATTTCTGAGTCATGCGAAAAATTTCGAAGGATTAATGGTATTTTCCGAAGTTCAACCATAAAGAAATTAAGACGATAAGAAGGCTACAGAGGATACTAACAGGTTCAAGTTCACCGGTCAAAAGTTTGAGGAAGGTCGATTTTCCGACCCCGTTTGGTCCAACTATAGAGATTCGTGTAGTCATGTCGACACCGAAGTTAAGATTAACAAAGAGGGAACGTTGATTCGGGTAGGCAAAACTGGCATTGTAAAGACCAAGCAGAGGAGGCAACATAAGAGGAGGGTTGGGGAAATGAAACTGAAAAGGAAAATATTAAGGTGAAAATATTACATATTAAAAGTATAAGCATAAAAGGCATGATGAAAGACATGAATTAATATTTAAACAAATAAAGGGGAACCCGGGAAGATGCTTAATGTATTATAAACACATCCAAAACATAGACCAAGATATGATGACTATCTTGGATTCAGCTCTAAATTGAAAATAATACGGAACAATAAGCGTAATAGCGTAGAGATTAACCTTAAACTAAACCATAGTAAGGTTATCATAAAACAAAGTAGACAAGATTAAAAACCTTAAGATTTGGCTGTATCGCCTCTTAGCAACACAATCATATTCTCAGGTTTACTTAGTGCAAGCTCTACTGCGCACACTGTCACTATTGATACGTATATGAAGAAAAGTTGGGTTTCGAAGAGTCCCATAGCAGCTTAATGCGGCACCAAGTAATTTAAAAGAGTTTTATGGATTAGCCCCATCAGAAACCGTAAGAATAGAGTAGAAAATGTTGGATTGTACGAAAAAATTCCCAGCACATTATCCCACAAACCGGATAGATCCATGCTGAGCTTTCGCGTAAAATGTAATGGAGATCATAAGAGCGGACATAGTTTACGAAAAAAACACCAATATATTGAAATAAGAGAAACGGTGGTCGGCTATAAAAACCTACTCGCTTGGTATACCAAATTTGGCGATTCCAATGAGGCATCGCATTAGTTAGTTGACTACTTTCATGATCATTCTAAATATTTGCAGATAGGTGAAATCCATGCAGGAATAGGATGTAAATGCTGTACAACCGAAGCTAAACACTCGAAATGAGACAAGCAGTCAGCCACACATACATAAGAGTCAATCAGATACCACATGCGATGTAAGCGAGTAGAAAATTATTCTAACAAGACGCTCTTGCCTCGCCAAGCCAACGCCAATTTGTTTAGTCTTGACTTCTCCTTCGTAGCTTGAACATGGTGTCAGGTAGGCCTATAAAAGGGTACCTAGTCTTGAGTCCTCTGCCACAGCAGTCATGATACATTGCAACACCAAAAAGTCAACAAGGTACATTTCTAGACGTTCCGCCGGAATCAACTATCCGATGCTGGTAATAATCAAGGGTACGTTCTTCGAGGCCTTCCTGACACCACGACCCAGTTGGATAGTAGAGGCAAAATCAATTCTATGAAGACAAAGAGGAATGCGACCAAACCTACGGCCACAACAGCCAGTCCTTCATGCCTAAGCAAATTAACTTTTATAAAAATATAAAATATAATGTTCGCATTGGATTAGCCAGATGCATTTTTTCAAAAATATAATTAGCCAAAGGAACTAACCTTGACGATATACGCTTTGGGCTTCTCGATAAGCGCAATAGATGAGCTCGTTTTTTCGCCGCTAATAGACATTTCCAACGTGGCTTTACATTTCGCCTGCTTCCGAGTTAAGGCTTCGCGTTGCACGTTCGCCGTTGCCTGCTTCGTACTGCGACCTGAGATTTTTAACTCCCGTAGGCGTTTCTCCTGCTTTTCATAGAGTTTTAGCTGCTCGCGCTTGCGCTGGGTGAACATCGCCTTAAAGCTGTCTATATAGTATGAAAACAGTGGGGGTCAACACACCAGTTTTGCAAGTCATAACGGATTAATTTGATTGAAAAAAAGACAGGAGTGACCAAGACATTTTGTACGTGTGGCTGCCAGAAATGGCGGTCTTAGATGGCAGGCATGGTTTCCAACAGACATAATTTGTTGAAGTATCCTTCTCGAAGATATTGTTATCATAGCAAGCCCAAATAATAATGTGGACGCTATGATTATATAGAGATATGAATTAATCAGGACATAAAGAGAAATGGTGCCCAAAAGTTAAATTTAAAGCCATTCAAAGATGGGAATAATTGGTGAAAAATATATTATAATGCATTTAGGTTATTTACTGTAATTTCCACGATAATAGAACAATTTTTTCTCGTCAAGATGAATGATATCTGTGCATACATTGTCGAGAAACGATTGGTCATGTGAGACGATCAGCAGTGTCTTGGACCAGCTTTGCAGATAGCTAGAGAGAAAATAAAAGCAAAAATAAAGTAATGTAGTTTATAATGCAATTTTATTTGGTGAGAGAGATTCTGCAAGATAAATATTAATTATATATTGATTTTTTAATGTTTTAATAATGATGGGTAACTCAAAACATAAGGGTCAAAATCCCTCACTGATCGATGTATGTTGCGGAGAGTAGTGGTTGGTCTATATAATTTCGCCTATAAAACTGCTAAAAATACTGTGAGATAAAAAATAAAGCAAACAGGAAAAGCATGTACTTTAACAATGTCTTTTTTATCTTACCATGTGAGAAGCGCAAATAAAGGATCTGCGGATTGTACTTACTAGATCTTCCTATGCATCCACCAAAAGGCTTTGGATATTGCATGGCCTAAAGTATGACAACCTTTGAGACACATCATTGGACCTAGATGGCAAGAAGCTGTAATGTGGCGTAGTGGTTGATGTGTCAATATTACATGCTGCACTGTCATAGTTCGAGCCCTGCTGGGGGTGTTGCTAAAACCTAATGAGGCAAAAAATGCGGTCTACTCTGGAGGAGAACAACTTTTGAGAAAGCAAGGCTATGTTAGATTCAATGGAAGCATCAGCTCTAGCCATATGATTGTGAAAAAATTAAAATACTCACCCTTCATCACCTTAAATGAAATAGGGTGAATAC